CATAAAAAAGCAGCAGATCAGTTGGGATGGCTGGATGGACAGAATAATACAGGAAAGCATCAGTGAATGGATGTTTTCGGAAAGGGGACAAGAAATAAAGCCATTAACCAGTAGGATTCCATCATTGCTTATTCAGACTTGTAAAAGTGTTTTAATAATATATTTTTTCAAATATGCAATTGTATGAACCTGAATTTTTGTTTTCTTAAATATTCAACAAATACAATCTGAGTTTAAAGTACAATAACAGATAATAAGGAGATCTTTTACAAAGATTACAGTCAAAAAAGCAGCTCATAGTATGATCTTTTGATTTGAAATCAGGAATATTTTTTTCCCTTTTCTCATCAAGAAGCAAATGTTAAGTACATGTAAACACACCCCATTCATTGACCTATATAAAAGTACTTTAATATCTATTTTCAGTCTCATTTTAAATTTTTGTAGCTGTCGTGTTACCACTGAGGCTTCTCCTGTTTTTTTTTTCATCCCCCCAAGATAAAAGACTCACAAGCAATTTCTCATTTCTCAGCTTGTGACACAAAAAAATAAATATCAGCAAAAGCAGACAGAGCGTGAGCACGCACGCGCGGGAGAGGTGTGTTTATAGCGGACAATAAGAGGTGATCAGTGCAGTGATAAGGTTGAGTGCGCCGTCAGTAAACAACACACACAGAAGTGACTTTGTGGTGACACACTGGTTTGCAAAACAGGTCCCGTTTCTGAGCAGATGGTCTGAGTGTGTGTGTTTCTCTGATCGTGTGGGTGTATGTGTGTTTGACCTTGACATAGAAGCTTATGCTGCTGCCAAACTTCTGACTGAGCGACATGAGGCTGCTTTGGGAGGATACAACTACAACCTGCTCACACGCGCACACACACTCACAAACAGATTATATCAGCAGGTGGAATATTTACAACTGGATGTTCTGTAAGATATGACAGGTTTTTCTACTGAGTGTAATTATGGATTTCACCACTAGGTGACACTGTTTGCCCAGTATTCTTTACTGTATGGGAAAGTCAAAAAAAGATTGTGTGCGCATGTCTTCATTTGTTCTGCAGTGCTGACAACTGGGCCTTAGTGTAGTTTTAACTCAGATCATTGGTTGCTATGGTTCTCCTGTACACGACTTTTCCACATGGTTGCAACAAAAACACAAACAAAAATAATACAGCACACACAGAAACAGGTGCACAGTTACACCTGGAAACAACTGCAGCAGATATTCAGCTTTTTTCTAACATCGGTCATTTCCTTCCAGGGAACCTAAAAATAAACATCGCTCCATCAGTTCCATCCTTTCAGATTCTTTTGCGATTGCCAATTAGGGTTAACGCTGCATGTCTCAGCAGCATCTTTACTCTAAAGGTGTAGCAAAGATGATTACTCACTCAATTACAAATCTGTGCAACATTCTCTTAGAAATCAGATAAGTTTCTTAGTCCTGGAAGGTGGCAGGAGTCACAACTGAATCACTATTCATCATCTAGGATTGCTAAACAAACAGCAAAAGAAGAAAAGTTGCCATAAAAAAGCCATCAAGTCTCAAAATAACCTTTTTACTTTAAAGTCATTGATAAATTTCTGAAATAAGAAAGAGGAAATATGAACAAAGGTTTCTTTAAATAAACATAATCTCCATACCAACCTGTTGTCTGGGAGACAATGAAGGACTAACACGTTTACTTTGTTACTATCATCACATACACAGATAAGTGGAGTTTGCTTAATACCAAGGAACTATATTTAGAGAAATGTGCTTGAGTCACGTAAAAATAAGATTGTATTACTGTAGTTTAAGTATTTTTACACACCAATGCAACTTATTGCAGATGGTATTGTATTGAGAATGTGAATAAATGTAAAGTGTTTAAGTGTAACAGAAGAAGATGGTTTAATTATAGAAAACTGAGGGGCAACAACATCTAAATAAAAAAAAAAAATTCCAGACATAATAAAAAAGAAAATATAATCTAGAGAAAATCTAATTTATTTGGGAAAAATAGCTGCCTACTGATTGCAAAAAACAAACATTCACAGAAGGTCTTGTGAAACAAAGTGGAATTAGATTTATTGCACCAGAATACATTTATCATATATAGCCATTGACTAAATAAAACACGCCTTCTTTGACCAACACTGTGGTCAAATCTGGTATGATCTTCTGGTATTTCCAGAGATTTTTCAATCTATACTTTACTGTTGGCAGAGAAATTTACAGAAGAATTTTCTCATCAAACATGGTGTTTAGAATGTAGACTTACATTTTTAACTTCATGGGTTTTTCCTATTAAAGGTATAGAGGACAATCTTTTATTTCCTGGTAGAACATCTAAATAAGTGCTCCTCATAACTGTAAATCATTCTGGTGATATGTTTACATAGGGCCGTTCTACGCGCTCGCCCTGTTAGTTATCTTTTTCTGCGCATGAGCACTTTCAGGCGTATATCTGTGGTTTCAAACGGTCATTGAAGCTTACCTTTCGCACCACGGTTCTTTGAAAATGGCAGAGGGTGGTAAGAAAAAAAGTGTCTACGAAGTGTATGAGAAGAAAAGAGAGACCTCAGAAACGGCAGATATATCCCAGAATGCTTTGCTTGGAGAGCTCTCTTCACAAAGCAGTATGGGATCTGCTGTCACTATCGCCATAGGCTGGTGCTGTCCGACAGCGGCAAATAATAACAAAGATGGTGCAGGTATCGTACAGTGGAGGAGGAGTTACATGACCAACAGGGCAAAAACAGTGATCATCTATCCGAACGGTAAGTTAACTGAGTTCGCTATAAAGTTCACTATATAGTCCTCGCTGTATGTGGATACAGTAAGCTTGCATTAGCCATGAGAACAGCACATTTTAAACAGGGCGTGCCCATGGAGAAATGGGCTTGTGCATGCTCTTGCACGTGCATTTTTTTTAAAGTGAAGAGGGTGGGTCTTTTAAAAAATCCTCCACAATACCTTTACTGTAGTTCTGAGCAGTTCGTATGCTTAATTAATGCTTGTTGCTAATCTAATGCCTTTAATCAGTAAGAGGTCCTTGCTAACAAAATATCTGATGATTTATTGACTGATAAGGAAATCAAATATCAGAAATCCTTTGAGGACCATTTTGCTGAAGCTGGTTATGGTTCCAGCTATGCTCCAAAGAAAAACAACATCAGAAATACATACCAAAAAATGCTGCAGAGGTCTGAAGAGATTGTTTTTTTTACACATGATGCGATTCCTCATGTGTGATGATACATTAGCAATGAGAAACCATTATGCAAACAATCAAGTGGGACTAGAGTAGCTGATAGTTATTTGCGCTGACATTAAGCAGAATTATTTCCCACAAGAGCAATGAGTTATTCCACTTATGAAACATAATTTAGGAACTAATTTATGTTGATTTTCCTGTATGTGTAGATTACTTGGGTGGTTCCCAATAACTGATGTGAATTTCATGTGTACAGCTCTATTAGATATACATCTACTGAGCGAAACAATCAATATTTATTTTTCCCACAACTGACTGGAAATATCAATTACGGTCGTAGATAATATTGTAATTAATTATAATCGTAATTGTATTTTGAAGCAACATATTGCAAGTTCTACTACTAGGTAAAAGAAATCAATAAAAACACACTATATATATCTACATAGATATATATCTATATAGATATATATCTATATAGATATATATGCATGTTAATGGGCTGTTTTGTGTGTTTTTCTCTGTGTGGGAGTGAGGAATATACTACAGGTGTGTGTATGTCTGGATTTTGTCTCAGTCTGTGTCTAGGAGCCGCAGGCCGGCCAATCCAAAAAGCCATGAATGTGTAAACAATGAGCTTTGCAATTCCCAATCAACACTTCCACACCGCCCACGCCTCGTAATCAGGGAGAGTGGGAGAAAGAGAGAAAAGACACAAAAAGCCATCACCCCCATTTCCCTGTAATCAAAGCTGACAGGAGGAAGAAATAACATGCTAATCACCTCCGCATCCAGTAGAGTCCATAACAGTTCAGGTCAATACACTTTACCTCTTAAGCATGATTTTTTTTTTTGGCACTACATATAAACCAAAGTCTATAAATAATAATGTCCAAACTCGCCTGGCACGCAATCACCAGAGTAGTAAAAAAAGTGACACATTTTAAGAGATGTTAAAAGACGATGCATTTCAAGCTGTTAATTTTAAAACCCTTCATTCCTTAACCTTTTAGCTTTAAATAACCATTACCTCTGCGTACAGCACATGTCTTGCAGTCATGCAAACCAACTTTTATTCATGCAACCTTTTCAACTTTCCCTTCAAACTGCTATTGATAACTGATGGAAATCTTTTCTATCCTCGGGACTCTTTTACATATTTATCATGTCCTCAACCCGGTTACTCACATAAATGGCATATTTTTTCAAGAAAGCTGGGAAGAAAATGGCATAAATACATAGTCCCCTCTTTGTGCCATGTGCTTCAGGATGTAGGCACCTGTCGTTGCTGGAAAGCAGCAGAAAACACCAGCTACAGATTTACATAGATGACCATGAAGAAAACATAAGGACCCCTTGGAAACTAAACAGTTGACCATCTGTTGGTGCTTTGATATTGTATCTTTCTGAGCTTAGGGAAGCTTTCATGTGCAGAAGATGGAATTTGAATGCATGTTTGTTATATTTATTAAGTAATATTCCAGAGGGATTTAAATTCAAAAGTCCACGTAGACAAAATAAAAAAAACAACAACACAGAATTCTAAGTACTTTAAGGAAAATAACAATACTATGCAAGTTAAAAAGTGTTAGCATCTTCAAGAAATCTATAAAAAAGAAAACAAATAATATCTGACCAATGTCTCCAAGTATTCCTTGCCTTAAAACTGCAACTAACCTATTGCTTTCTCAGTATGTGACAACAGATGAAAGGCTCTGTAAGAGCTCTAGGTGAGATGATTTTGTTTTCTTTTGAAGCACATCCTGAAAGAACAGGAAACAAAAACACAGACTGACCTGGCAAAATCGAGGTCAGCCTCTCTGGACATGGTGATGTTTGTGAGGTTCTGCTGGAGAACAAAGATGTTTCTACACATCTTTTTAATGCCAGACTCGCTGATCCTCTTGAAGTATTGAGCCCCATTGATTAGAATGCAGGAGATGAGATGGCCTAGACCTGAAAACAAAACAAAAAAACATTATTTGGAAGAAGAATGACCTGTTAACAAAAGAAAGAATAAAACATTTTAAGAATGCTCAAAGGTGTTCGACTCAGGGCTCCAACAGTTTTTTTTTTTTCATTAAAATGCAATACTTTTTTCTCAGTCCTTTCACCCTTAAATAAGCAGGCGCATAGAAATATATTTAAAAAAAATTCATTACCATTTTCTGATTGATCTAAGCTAAAATTACAAACTTTTCCCATTTCTGCCCATTTCAGGTTACAGAATACCAGTTCAACATATTTGTAATATCTTTGAATCCATTTATAAAATATTCTACGTGCTTAAAATGTTTTACAAATTTGATACATGGAATGTTACAAGTCACAGAGCATTCTGGGTGCTTCAGTCATGCTGTATTTTGCATTTGGAATGTTTATAGATTGTAATGTTTTATATATCAAATTCTAAAACACTCTAAAGTCTGTAGCTATAGCTATATTTTCTTTTTTTTTTTTTCAAAAGATTGAAAGTTCCACCTTGGTCCAGCATACCTTCAAATATATACTGGAACTTGTGCTGCTGCAAAGCGGCTCCCATTGCTTCTTCTATGGCAGAAATGTCCTTGTTCAGTTTGACCACCAGGGGGTCGTAGTCCATGCTTTCCACATTGGCTACGATGGCATAGTTTCCCTGCTTGGTGAGGGGTATCAGGTAATGGAAACAATGCACCCTGGAGTAAAACAGAGGGAGAAGAGTAAATGCAGACCGATGTTGAACCATATTTAACTATAAAGCTTTCCACTGAATGAAATAGTCATTAAATTCACCCCATTCCTCATACCACCCTTACACAAATCTCTCCGTCAAGAACAACTCAGTCTCCTGCTGGTATTATATTAGTCTTTTAAATCACAGTATTAAGTAGTTAGAACATGAACTGTCTACCTGCTTTTAAAGCCTATAATTTATACAAAACATTGTCGGTTTCATAAGTATTCAGAATAAATCCACTTATTCAACTACAGCTACATCACTGCTGGATATCATTAAACCAGGCAGAGTGCTGGAGAGCGCCACACTGAATATGCAACATTTTCCTTAGGGTGTTGAAAGAAAAGCTTTTACACCATGTAAATAAAAAGCAAACTTTCCATACTGTTATGTAAACACATTTTCTTCTAATATCAACATAAACTCAAAACCTGGAAAGCATGCATTTGAAAGCCTTTGGGCAGATGTACTTTTCAACTTTTAAAATCTCAGCTCTGTAAACATATACTGTCAGGAAGCTTAAAATAAAGGGAAAGTTGCCTTAAAATAATTTCTAATTGGACATTTGCAAGCGACATTCCCTGCAAAGCAAAAGCCAGAAAGAAATGTGATCATCTAATTTTTGATTTATCCCTAGATTTGAGAAAATGTTGTGGCAGATCTTGAAAAAACGCTGCAGATCAAATATTGGGGCTTTGGAAAAAATAAGACATAAAGGCTTTAACACATCGGGTGAGATTAACACCTTTCACCTCTTTGAAAATGCATGGGGATGGTCAGACTGCACATGTTTTCTTCTGCAACTGTGCTCACATATCTCTGACCGGGGTAGATTTCTGCTCTATTCTGGTCAGATTTATGCAGCAATTTGGCAGCAATGTCATGCGTCTGACAGCAAGAGAGACACAGCTGCAAAGCAAAAACAGATCAGACTTGGGGAAAATACAACATAAAATCTCTGCATCCCAAAGTAAACCAGGCAGGTTCGCCCCGTTTGGAAACAGGGGGTGTGCACATAGCAAGCAGGCAGCTTTAGACATATATTCAACCACACCCACAGTCAGAGGGAGTTTGCTTATGAGGGACAGTTCTGAAATATGTGCAGATTATCTTGCACAGAAACTGAAAAATTGTTTGTGCAAACGTTACAAAAAGCTGTCTGATTATCAACTTTCACGGTCACTGGTTTTTCTTTGAGGTTTTTATTATACTTTATACCTATGAAAATCCTTTACCCCCTCTTACTCCTAAAGTCTAGTTAAACAGCTGAATGGAGAGACGGTTCTACAAGGGAATTAAAGGCTTTCTAACATAAGGTTTTTATGTATGGTCTTTTCTTTTCAATCTTTTATTTACATTCATAACCTAAGATATCGATCCCCAAAAGGTATAAACCTTAAAAAGAGGTATAAGCCTTATAGATGCAGTGTCTGCTCATTATAAAATCTGGATCAGGAAAAAGGAAATGGAGGAAAACTGGATGAAAGCTAAATTCTGTCATAGATTCACCCAAAAAGATCCCTTTATATTGCATATAACATATGCTGCAAATTAGAAAAGAAAATAATAAATCATCAAATTTCTAGCAGAGGTATACCTCCCGTTAATGATCACATGATCTACACCTGATCAAGCTGCAGCTTTCTTGCCAAAAACAAATTTAGATCACTCAGTTTCTGTAAAGAATTGTTTTTTTCAAATGTTTTTCTATTCTCCATTTAAACAATTTTTGTCTGAGGACATTTAGCCTCATAAAAGAGCTGTCTAGACTTACAAAGTCAATACTTTATCAATTCCTTAATCACAGCGCCCGGGGTATAAAAATATAAAAATGATATGGGTGAATGTCTTTTCCCCCTTCCGGCAAAAATCCAAAACTACACTGAATATTGAATACCTCTATCCCACATCCCTCCCTCTCAATTCAATCATTTCTCCCACTAAGCTAAAGTAGATCCTTTCATTAACCCCTATCACCACTTTTACCTCTCTCTGCTCTCCTCCTTCCTTTTCTCTCCTTTCTTGTTTCTTTCTTTTCTCCTCATAGCTTCATCTAGCTGGTACCACTATCAGGGGAAATTCGCTAGATGGGGAGAGTCAATGGAGTGTAGCATATAGCTAGATATCAGCCTCAGGGAGGTTTTTCAACTGAAATCATCAACAATATTGCATAAGCTACACAATGGACTACAGGGAGGGATGGAATAAGAGAAGCATGATGGAAGACTATTATCGGTTGGAGGGGAGTGAAAAAGTATATGGTGTGGTAAATTAACTTAGACGTCGGCATTCAAAGCACATACTAAAGACAATGCAGTTTTGAGCATTTCTATGACGACAAACTATTTTGCCACATTGGATTTGATAGCAAAGAGCTGTTGAGTTTTGTCTGGGAACAGGTAACAAAACAGAACTGCATCAATGCAGAAGTGTTATGTTTTTCTTGAAAATAACACTGGTAAAAACAGTCTATATAAAAAAAAAGAAGGATAGACTATGACAGCCTGTGTTATTTCTATCATATGTTTTTATATTTAAAATCCAATTTAACAACACAGAGGAATTTATTTAAAATGCATACATTTAGCTTTTGTTTAGTGACTCAATCTGGGTTCAATTTTGCCATCTACCTTTAATAAATCATGATCCTTTCAATGGATAGTAAAAAAAAAAAAAAAGGTGACCACTAAATATATAAAAATGTTTTTTGATAGAACTCAACTTTTCATGAGGTCTCTTAATTTTCCACACAACTGAATCATCTGATTGGTCAGGCACCATTTCTAAGTGCAGTATAAAGGTATATAAGGATAAGTATATATGGGTAAAAATGAGTAAAGGCTCTTAATGACAGAACAGAGAGCAGTGTTATACTGTTGTTTATCACAAATCTAATAAAGAACGAATATTGGTATCAAATTATCAACACAAATATATTTTCAATCTTTTTCATCATTTTCAGATTATAGTTAAACTCAACCTACTTGGTATACTCTACATAGTCAATACCATTGTAGTCAGGGGTTGGAGAGAGAATGAGATCGATATTTTGTTTGTGATGTAGAAAAAAGTATTAGAACAGAAAATGTAAATGATAAGGTTAAAAAAACAAAATTTTTTGCTATATATTTGACAGGATTTCTAACTAAACTTGGTGGGACATTGTTAACCTGTTTCATTGCCGCTGCTAACTTGGCATAGAAAAAAGTGGATGTTTCAGGAATGCCTCAAAATTCTTCAGTTTCAGCCAAAATTTTACTAAAAGCTGCTTTGAACTTCGACACAGTGATGAAACCGTTGTAAAAACTGATAAATATATTAAAACACAAAGATCCAATTAATTACTTGACCTTAAACGGAATTGAATATTTGTTGGTTAGAATCTAAACTGTTTGTTTCTCAGGATATTCATTAATTTCAACAATCTTAACCAAACTGATTGGGTTGGGGAAAAATATTTAGTCAGAATAATTTTAGATGCCTGTTGATAAGCTTTTGGTTTTTCTGCAACTTGTCAACAGATAACCAGCCAAACAATTGAGAGTATTGCATGTTTGTGAATACATATAATTCTTTGGGATATATAAAAACAAATCTGCACTGAATTCCAAATCGTGATCTTGATCAATTTTATCGTATCTTTTTTATCTTACTGAAGTTATTAGGGGCCCTGCTGTTTGACATGGATGCCTAGTTGTGCATAAATGGTTGACTTATGCTTGATCCATTCTATTATCTGCAGGGTCTGAATTGAGCTGTTGAAAATAAACTCCCATCATCTTTGGATGACAGGAAGAGGCATTAAAAAAGTTGATCAGATGTCCCTGATTTCTGGGGATAGTCAACGTTTTTGACCACCTGTCCCTGGCTAAACTGGTACCCAGAAAACTGGCCCCCGATTTTCATGTTATATGAATATGGGGAGAATGTTGCATGTAGAAAGAGCACATGAGCATGTTGTACTCAGAAACAGATGCTATGGTAGCTGGTTGCGCTGCTGTTAAAGATGAGGAAAAGAGTGCACCACTTTTAAAACAGAAGATGAAGCGGATGTTCTTTGTCGCAACCAAATGCAACTGATGGGAGCTGCTCTGCGTTGTAGTGAGTGTGTTAGTCATTCATTTGATTTGGATTGGGCTGACTCTTGTGAAAAATGTTTGATTTGTGCCCAGGTAAAAAAAAATAAAATAAAGCTAATTTAAGTAGTTATTTTAAGTTGTTTTGCTGATTTATGGTTGTGCTTTTCTATTGTGTGCCTTTGCTTTTAGCTCCAAATATGACAGCGGAGAAAAGTGATAACAGTTGAAGAGAAGGGAGAAAAATCTACTAAGTGTAAAGCAGAGAGCAGGCAGATGTCAGAAGATGGCTGGATTAATCAGCTGACAATGAAAGATAGGAAACAAAGGAGCTGCTAAAGTTTAGGAGGTAGTGGAGCTGTGCATAGAGCCCATTAGTGGGAGAAATTGATCTGCTCCTTCGAGATGCACAGGGCCCTGATGTTATAGTAATAAACATATATCCTTCTTTCCCTGCAGGCTCGACTGCTACTTGTTTTTGATTCATATTAACGCAGATAAGTCTAATTGAACAGAATGAGTATTTGTTGCCTTTAATTGAAATGGGTGGGGGAACTCTGTCTCCCCAGACAGGCAGAGGCATAGGCTAAATGTTCCAGTTTTCCTTTTCCTCATGTAATTCTTCCCTTAGGGGGCGTCGGACCTCTTTAGGCGCCAAAGAATTGGAGAGCCCTGGTAACCACCCTGGACCCCTATATCCCACCTCCGACCCTTTTCCCAAACAAATGAGGCTGGAGTTTTACTTCCACAGAGCCACACAAAAACATGGAGGGTTTTATTCAGTGATGTACTGTGTCAGATGATGGAGATTAACAATGTAACAAGCTCCTAACTTAACTATTTTTAGAGGACACTTTTTTTAACCTTAATAGTGATTTTTTTACTGACACTTGTTTTACATCAATAATTGATTCAATTGTTTCAATTGTGTAAATAATGTGTTAAAAAGTAAAAGAAAAGTTCTAGTTTTGTATTAATGACACTATCGATTTATTTATTTTATTAATATTGGGAAATACTAACAGTGCGGAGAGGCATTCCTGGCGTATACATTTATTTTCTATTGTTTAAATATTCATAAAAGTGTAAAAACAAATGAAACCATTACTGCCGCAGTTTCCTGGAAATGTCCAAAGATTTGATTTCACAAATCTGCTCACCTTAAAGTCGTAGTGAGATGGCTGTTCCATCTGTTTCATTTCCGAATTCTCTAAAGTTGTGCCCGACTTTACATATAGTGAATAAAGTGAATGCGATTGGTCATTTATCAAGAGGGCGGGATTGTTATGGCAGAAGGTTCGCAAGCAAGTTTGATTGTGGCCGGTTTCTCGGAAGCATCTTGCTAACCAGTTATCAACTTGCTAGTAGGTTCCCAATGGAAAATTACATTGGAACCAAGTAGCACTAAAATGGTGACTTACCAACGATAGTGTCAAGGAACGCTAGGGAAACTAGGGCTGCAACAACGAATCGATAAAATCGATAAAAATCGACTTTTAAAAGCGTTGGCAACGAATTTCATCATCGATTAGTTGTGTCGCGCGATTATTGCGTCATCCGCCGCGTCGTCATCACTGCCTCTTGACTGAAAGAGGAAGAAAAAAAAAAAAGGCAGAGCGAGTCAGCGCCGCAGGTGCAGTGTTGCCAACTCAGCGACTTTTCAGACCCCTCCAGCGACTATTTTTCAAAAAAGCGTTCTAGCGACAAATCTGGCGACTTTTTTCGGTGTCACTGGCGGCTTTTGGAGACTCTTACGTGAAAGCATGTATCGTTCCTACTCTGCCGTGGGGCGCCTCCCCCACCCCAACCGCGTTGTCCCTCAGGAGTCCCTCTCAGCGCTGGAGTCAGACCCTCAGCGTCTAGACTGCAAATGAAGCGCGCATGCACCGGGATTGACGGCGCAAATTGATCACAATAATTAAAATAGCCTGCGCTTTGTAAAACGAAAAAAGTGATAACAAGCAACTTTTTTCAAAAGAAATTAACATGGCACGGAACCACCATGTTTGTTTGGTTTTAAAGTGGGGAAACGTTACGTTAGTTTCTCAGGAAGCTCATCTGATGCTTTCCTTACCGTGTTAGTAGGTTACAGACAGGGATAAGGTTGGCTACTTATTTTACCTTTAATTTCATTTGAATTAGCTTAAGCAGCGTTTATATTTTCTTTATAAATAAATTAACTTGCAAATTATGAGGGCAAGGCTTTTAAAGTTTAAATCTTCTGGCAAAGTTAAAGTAAAGAAGATCCTGCAATTTATGGAAGTAAAGCAGAATAAAATCCAGCAAGATCAGTAATATGTCAATTAATTATCTGCCACATTCCCATGTAAATATCTGTCTTTGGAGGATGTGTTTTTTAGCACCCCTAGTTCTCTCATTTTTATTCCAAATACAATTTATAATTTGAATCACAGGGCTATTTTTATCTCTATGGTTCAGTATTTTCTCAAGCAGCAACTTTAACTGCTATACTTTCCTGTCTTAAAAGGCAGAACTCTTCTAGTCTAAAAAAACTAATTTGTTGAAATGGGGGGGCCTATTGTTTGAACCCCTTAGGGGCTTTTAAAAACAAAAATGTCTTTTTTTGCCCTTTATGAAACAAAGTACCCTATATTTTGTGGATGTACAGCTATATTTCTCATGTAAGTTTGCGTAGTTTTAACACAAACATTTATTTTTCATATTGCACCAGTACAGTTAACGAGCAACCTGTACTTGTCTGCTTGTTTGTTCTGTCTAAAATGTTTATTTTGGAATAAAGAGGTTAATATAAAAAATATTTTTTGTCCGATTCATCGATTAATCGAAAAAATAATCGTCCGATTCATCGATTTTTAAAATAATCGTTAGTTGCAGCCCTAGTGGAAACATGCAAGAGGAGGAAAGTTTTCTGTCGAAAGTCGTGAAAGAGTCTCCTCCATCATACATTTTTTATTTAGAGCAGGAGAGAGGGGACGAAGAAGTTGTGGAAGAGGACGCCAAGGCGGCAGAAGCTTGGTTTGGTGTAGAAGGCTTACAGCCGTACATGTTTGAGCCCTCGCCTCGCAACGCTGCCAGTTCTGTTAGCTCTATGCCTGCCGAAGACACAGACGTCCATCCCCGTGAACACTGGGGCATTAGCTCAATGGTAAAGTAAATGATTCTTATTTCAACCATTATATGTCGCGTATATTGGCTGCGACATATGAATCACGTTGCTATGACCGAAATATTTATTTGACAAATGACCGTTAATATATGATATGCCAAATTTAGGTGTACAGGCTGACGTATAACTAACTGGCCTGCATAAGATTACAAAAAAAACCCAACAGATTTTAAGAAAGGCTTTTTTTTATATATATATAGAAATTTTCTAAATTTTGGGACAATATCGTCTGATAAAGCTGTGTTTTCTACCTCTAGTGTAGTTTTTTAACAAAGGTACTTGCTGGTTACTGGTTTCCCTATTTACCCCAGTATTGAAAAAAATTCATGATTTAAAGTTTTCCGTCATTCGATTTCTGTGGTTTTAGGTTTTTCTTCATAAATCTCAGAGATTGCTCAGGTTGTGAGCAGCTGTTACCTCACTGCCCCTCCCCTACCTCTCCGTGGTAGATGCTAGCTGTACAGCATCGGCTTGTATGATGTAGAAATGAGGGGAGCAAAAGTGAAAGACAAAATGATCAAATTCCTTTTGTCTCTGTAGCCGTTTTGGTATTTTGTTTTTTTACTTGTACTTACTGTTGCTTCAATGTGCATGTGACAAATTATATACATGCCAAAAATCTTAAGTATGAATGTACTCCTAAAAGGGAGTGAGAGCATGGCAGGGAGAGAATTTTTAGCAGGACACCTGTGATCTAAAAACAGTTTCCACTGACAACTAAAATTACCTATGACTGCAGATATTATGTTAGAGATCAGCGCAAAATTCAACAAGACACTAATAAATTACTCAGCTATAACTTGTTGATATTTTAATCAGCTCACTCACTTTATTTATTGTATCGTAACCTCTTCATTAAAACTATACAGAACTTATTCACTTCAAAGTACCTCTAAAATATGAGACGGACTCACCAGACTGTGCACACTTCACAGAAACGTTTCATGAGAGTCTGATGAACCACTTTATAGGGATAATTAATTAATATCGTTGTGACATATTGAATTCCCACTTCTTTTTATTTATTTTTTCCTATCCTAGAACCAGATTTATGAAACCAGCTGTGTTCTCTTATGTTAGCTTCACACCTATAGCAAACATAAAATAAATAGTTACATTTATTCTATGTTTCTTTTACATTTCTGTGTCCTGAAAAGAAACAGATGCAATAACATATAACAAATGCATTTATAATAAAAAGGAAAAAAATTGCAGTTGAGGCCCCTAAGCAACTAAAGGCCCTCTGCAGTTGCACAGCTCATACAGCCTATGCAACGGCCCTGGTTGGATTTAGCCTTTCCAAAACGAACTCAAATACATAATTATAGCTCAAAATTTACCTGAAACTAAAAGAAAAAAAGAAACCAATATGAAATACCATAATAAAGGTGACCATTCCTCAGTCTCTATTCCTACCTGACTTCCAGATGTAAAACCAAGAGACAACGGTCAGCAATATCTTGGAACCCCCGAGACAAATCGCTCAGAGTGAGTAGAATCTGCTCCCGGCTGCGTTCGCCGTCACCAAGCACCTGGCTGTCTGCTGGGGATGGAGAGGCACCTGGGTACAAGCAAACAGGAAGGGGTAGGTAATCAAATTAACTTAAACAGCTGAGGATGAATAACATTAAGAAGGAACTCTTCAAGACTACTTGTTCCCCAGAAAGGATTTTGATATTTAATGCAGTTTACTCTAATATGCATTTCATAGTGTTAATGACTCCAGCTCATTTTCACATGTGCATAGCTAAACTGAGCTTCACCCTTACTGAGTCCTTCAGCATGTTCCTATACTTTCTTTGCACAATTCGTGCTGAGGCAGCAGGAGCATGTGTCACTGTACGGCATTGTAAGCGACACAAAAGAGCCGATTGTGCTTGTGTGAAAGTGAGAGAACCTTAGAGCACGATGAGTATATATATAAATTTAGCGCAGGGTAGATCAATGGCCATAAATTACCGAGAGGGGGGAAAAGGAGAGAAATTGGCCCCGTCACTCATATGTAAGTCTATTTGGCCAATGAGGCGTGTGTGGATGTGTATTCAGTGTGTGTGTGAGTGTGTGAGGGAGTGACTGTTGAGCAGAGGAATGCAGGGGTCCAGGATCGATGTGCCGCAGTCAAAGCCACCTCCCTACTTATTCTTTCTGTCCTTCCGAAGGTCACACATGAGTGCAAGTCGGTGCAAATCAACACACACCAACACACACATACACACAGTCACATATGAATCTATGGCTAAGGCCGCAGAAATAGTAAGTAAAGCCTACAATGATATGGCATTCTGTCCTAATTGCTAATTTAAATAGACAGGTGCTTCTCCATTAGAACGCCATCAAAATGATTTATTTCCGAAATTCGTTTCAATTTGAATACTGGTTTGACCTCAGAAGTCCAATTTGATTTCGTAGCAGCTTTCAATGTATCTGCTTTGTTATTTTACAGATCTTCACCTTGTTAAAAAAACATATATACTTTGTGGAGTTTCGTTAAGGCGAGTTTGCTAGTATAATCAGATCATGGACATACATTAACGCAGGAAGTTCTATTTGTGATGGTGTGTGAAGGTGCCAAGTCCTGCTGGGAAATCAAATCAGTATCTCCATAAAACCTGTCAACAGAGGGAAGCATGGAGTGCTATAAAAGGTCCCTGTATATGGCTGCGTCAACTTGGACTTTATAAAACCCAGCTGACCAAGGACCAATGGCAACGTTCTCAAAGTAATTACTGACTGCAGCGGATACGATCTAATCCGGAGCACCACCAGCTTGGTGTCTGAGGTATTCTCCTTTTACTTTTGGGTGCAGTGGAATAAAGTAGTCGTAACATGAAAGAGTTTTGAGGATCGGTTGGCAGGCAGTGAAAAAATTGTGAAAATTTGTAGCAAGTCTACCAAGTAATATTGCATAACACTACAGTGGATGGGACTTTTTATTGGGGGTAGTAGGCCTAGTGGTTAGAGCAATACGCTTCTGAGAAGGTTGCAAGTAACAGGTTCGATCCCCGCAGCCTGCACTCTGGGTCTGTGAGCAAGACCCTTAACCCCCCACACTGCTCATTGTACGCCGCAAAATGGTAGCCCACTGCTCCCCAAAGAGACAGGTTAAACGTAAAGTGAATTTCTTTGTTTTGTACTTGACAATTTAATGGAAAAAAAAGTTTAATTCTATTCTATCTATTCTATTCTATTCTATTCTAAGAATGGCTGCCAAAAGAATAAATTTCTTCCTTTTTGTGCCATATTTAACAATCTTTAATCCTGACTTCATCCATTTATCTTATTTCTTCATAATTAAGTAATACATTTCAATTCTCAATCAGTGTTATAAAGGAAGTCAGATAATTATTGGTTAAGTTTATCTGACAAGTAGCTCAAGCTGTCAGTTCACATTGAGTTTCAAGTAGACTTCATGACGTGGGGGGTGAATCACCATTATCTGTGGACAGCTCAGCACTGCATAGGGTGTTACTCTGCTATTCCTGAAATATCTGATAGATGGTTGCATCGATTCCTTAGCAATAGGGCAGCTATCCTCTATAAATGGCCCATGAAAGCCATGTAACTCATGTAAAAGAAATCTTTTTTGTAATAAAAGCATCTGTTTAAGCCTGGTTCATGTGGTGAAATGTCTCTGTATGTTACAGTAAAAAAAGTAAGGTAAGGCATCGCTGAAATAATAGTATCCAAGGACATTGAGTCTTTCTATGTCATTGGACAAAAGAGAGCTGTTACATGTTCTCATGTAGAGCTCTTATGTTTTCTGTATACATACAAAAAACGAAATAAAAACATTGTACTACACTGACACAGTCCTTTCTTTCTGACGGTATTTTCTTATTAAAAGGTTTTGTCCACCATTTTGCTGCTTTTGGATGGTGAATATAACCTTGAGCAAATCAAATCCCAATTTGCATGTGTTTCATACATTTTGCTGGCTTTAGTGTATTAGTGCAGTTACTTTAAATGAATCTTCTACAAGATAAGAAACGGATGGTTTGAGAAAACAGCATTGAGGTGTATGCGCCGCCTTTCCAATCAACAAAGCAAACACAGCCAATGCTGTGAGTGACAGACCGGTGACTGCTGCTCTTATAGTTTGTGTATCTGACACACAGAGATAAAAAGCAGCGAATACTGTTGCTCATTAAAGCCTCGACTATGATGTGTTGGCCTGAATGCATGACTGTGTCCAATGTATGTAAGTGTAGGCTTACATGCAAATTAACAGTCTCCTTGAGTAAACCTGGGGATGATGCGTATGCGCACTGTGTGGGACGACACAATCATGCAGTACAATCCTATTTGATTACTTGGTGGAGGTACAGGCAGTGAAGCACTTTATCTCTACTGAACCTAGACAAGTGTCTAGTTTCTGTCAACATATGAAAACTACAAGATGATGCATTATAAAAAATAACAAAAAATGCCATCAAAAATGTAACTAAAAATAAACTTCAACTAAACTTGAATGAAGACCAACAAAAAACTTTCTAAGAAGAAAAAAACAAACTTTTCTCAAGGGAGAAAAGTACAATGTCATTGATTTATTTTACTTATATTAAATTGAAGCTGTGTACAATTTCTGGCTGACTGATTAAGAACAAAACACAAAGTAAAAGCGCTAAAATGGCTAAAAGAATGGAATGAAAACAAAGTAAAAAGCATCATGAATATCCTTTTTGCAAACACTGTAACAACTCTGATATTCAGTTAAACAAAGCACAAAAAAGTAATTGTAACACAATCGTTTTCTGCAAATAGTGATGTTTTTTTCAGTTTCGGCTGCAACTAATTCAGTTAATCATTCCATAGGAAACGGGTTTTTTCTATAGCCCCATTTACATTACCCTTTTAAAACCGTGTCCAGATTGCGCCGAGCACGAAAACTGAGATAACTATTGAATGTAAACATCACACATAAATTGAACCGGACCACTCCAGACACAACGGAACTGCGCTAACATGGTACTAGTTCATCAGTAGGGCTCGGCACGGTTAGGTTCAGGTTCGGTTCTCAGATAACAAACAGTGCAAGAGAAGGCTGTGTCATCTCCTTAAAGTGAGCCTTCATTATAAACTAAAAACTTCCGACAAACTTCTAACATTCATAAAAATACAAGCTTTACTACCTTGCAAAATGATTCCCAGTGATGATTCTGCTTAGCAGTGTGATGCGCCTCAATGTTTGATGCTGTTTCCTGCGTTTGAAAGTCCTGATTAAACTATTGTTTGTCGTATCCACTTCTCAAAATCCGACTCTGTCAAATAAATTCACCAAAGGCTGCCTTCTTCAGCTGACTCTCTCCGCAAACAAGGAAATATCAAAATGATAACAAAACATAACTTCCTGAATGTAACAGGCTCTGTAATGTTGGTTTGATTGTTTACCTCTAGAGAGCAGTAGTACTGTAGATCACCACTAGGTGGCGAGGAACTGTGCTAGCATGGTGTGTAAATGGTCGTAAGGAACCCAGCTAGGCACGGTTATCTGATCGAAGCTCGGCACGAATCGGTTTTCAGAGGTTAGTGTAAATGGAGCTTATGTTGCATATTCCCTGACAAGTACTGCTTCAGCACTTGTAAGTTGTAGTACGTTTAAAAGCACTCGCCACAGGCATGCATGTCATTTGGGGCCTTTGATAATGAGTCCTTTAAATCTTGTGTATACAACTTTAATTTGTTATCACTCATCATCAGTGTTAGAGATAAAGGCTACTAACACCAAAGGTTTGAGACTCTTGCTTTAGTCTCGACAATAAAAGACTACAGACTTAATCCAGACTTTTGCCCTAGAGACTCGAGAAGGGACTTTGATAAAAATGAACTTAAAATGTCACAAATACAACTTGTACACATTGAAATTACTATTAGCAAACACATAAACTATATTTAGGAAATATCTGAGTCTTATAAGGTTCAGACCTGGAACAATTTATCAGGCATTCTGTTTTTAAACACAATCCAAGATATTTTTATTTTTTATTACTTAAGCGCTCAACTTTCCTTTTTAATCCAATCGTCTTCTTTTTATTGTTCACTTTTATTTTCTTCAAGTATTTGTCTTGCCATTATGCCACTGCAATGCAGTTCTCTTTATTCCTTCATCTAGAGCAATTTGAATGATCTTGGCACTGAAATGGAGTATATGAATAAACTTGCCTTGTCTACTGTGAACACCGGAAACATAATATGAAATGGATAATAACTCACTTTAAAGAGCAGGGTGTTTGGACGTTGACACAACAGGACAATGATCCCAAACACAAACCAAAACCTCATTCTGCAATGGATAAAGAAGTCGGACATTAAACTGCGATAATAGCTGTGCTTTGTCAATTGTATTTGGAAACGTCTAAGACCAGAGACCATCCATCCATTCATTTTCTGTCACGCTTATCCATGCTGGGGTCACGAGGGGTGCTGGTAGCCATCTCCAGCTGGAGATACACCCTAGACAGGTCGCCAGTCCATCGCAGGGAAACACAGAGGCAAGCAACCATTCAAGCAAATACTCACACCTACGAAGAATTTGGAGAAGCCAATAAACCTAACACTCATGTT